TCAAGAAGGATGTTTTCAGGTTTCAAATCGCGATGGACGATGGGAGGATCATGTGGGTGCATAAACTGCATCACCGTTAGAATCTGAAAAGCAATACTCATGATGGTCGTTTCTGGAATCATTGGCTCTGATTTTTGCTGTCGAATCCACTTCCCAAGATCCCCCTTCTCGTGGTATGCCATGACAAGAGACAGATACCGCTCCCCTGACGTCGCCGCTGCCACCGCCCCACGTTGAGGAGGGACCGGATAAATGTCACTGCCCTCATCCACACATATCATGACGGACCCACTCGGTGAACCCAATTGATGCTCAGAATGTTGCTGTTGGCGGGCCCCACCGGCGTGCAGATTTGTATCAAAACGATACGACATAAACATGTCTACCAACCGAATTACATTTGGGTGCCCTTGCAATGTGTAGGCAACTTCACACTCGCGCATAGCCTCTTGTCGATCCACGTCATCGGCACACTGGACGTACTTCAGCGCAAAACGTTGACCATCTACAACACGTTCCACGAGGTATACCACAGAGAAACTCCCCCGTCCAAGACGATGCAGCACTTTGTACTTGCCATCCAGAAGACTTTGCTTCTGATGCGCAGGAAGGGCAGCACCACGACCAACCCCACGATTCTCATCACCCCCATCCTCATCATTGCTTAAAAGTAAATGTTGTCTTTCCCCCTTTTCAAATTTCCTCCATCTGCAACACCGCACAATGTAGAACAGTCCAATTGATACAAGTATCGTGACAATAAGAGTAAACAATACTAATGTGGCAATAGTACCATATGACAATTTATTATCTGGCGAAGGGGAAGGAGCCATCGTCGTCGTTGTGGAAGGTACCCACTTCATGACCGGTGAAAGAACAAAAGGGCGTTCAGCATTCAACGCCTTGTAAAAGGCGGTTGTACAAGGTTTCCTTCCAGCCTTTGATTCATCCCAACGTGTCTCCTTTACACCACTCTTGCACTGAGGGAGAACAAAGGCACCACTTGAGAAGCAGACATACAAAAAAACTTGTTCATAATATACTTTCGTGGTATCATTATCGTACTTTGGCTGCGAACGAGGGGGACGACGATGATGATAATAACTATCCTCAAAAAAGAAGGAATCATGAGGATGACCATACGGTGTTCCATTTCCAGTGAGGTTAAGAATACCATCTGCCAGGGATCCTACAAGAGTAATAGGACCCACTGCCATTGTTTTTTTCTTTGAAATGTTATTGGTAACGGGATCAACAATATCCACCACGTATGGCTGTGTGTTGACATGGGACAGGTTACCAATATCCAGAAGAACTGAATTACATGTGGGCGAATCAGAGAGACGTAAAAGGCACGAAGATACTTGATCAAGATCAGTATTTGCCACATGTTTACTAGAATTGACGATACCGGGGCAGGCTTGTGCCAGGCTCTCAGAGAGAAGAATGTTAAACGTGAAATTGTACCATAGGGGCTCATAACCATTCACTAATACTGTGAAATGTCCATCATTATTTGGCAAGTCTTTGGGAGGTGGGGTAGGCGGAGCTGGCGGAGGTGGCAGTGGCGGCGTTGGTGTTATAGACGGACTAACGGTTGGCGTATTATCTGAAGAAAAAAGAGAATGTGTGCTCCCACCTTGAAAATCCTCCTGCATAGGTGAATGCAAATTCACCACCTCCTTTTCTCCTTGTTCCTCTTCTATTTCTGCTTCTTCGTCTTCTTCTCGTACGTGTGCCTTGAACCCATGGAGAGATGTGGCTTCACCCTTCATGTCTGTCCATTTCCCCGTGGGATGCATTTCCATTGCCGCTTCTTCCACCTCCTCTAGGACGTCCTCCACAAGAGAAATGTAGTGAAATCCGATGATGCTCACCACCACATGCCCATCGTCCACAAGCATTTTTCCTGTAAAGATGTCAAACGAAATACCTGTTCCATCTGGCGGTGGGATTTGCCCACCAACAAGGTAAACAGTCACTCCATCCACGGTCGTCACGGAAAACACAGCGGCATTACTGCGTAGTGGTGGAAATCGAATGGGCACAGTTTCCACAGCACCATAGAGACTCATTAGATCAGGCCATACCTCCTGTTGGTCAAAAGAACGATCATTCGTGGCACCCATCACGGCCAGTGTGTGATTATACATCATAATTTGTGGTGAGAGCCAGTTGAGCTGCCATGGATGGCCATATGTTCCAATGTTAGTCTTGACCAGCGAAGGGTCAATGACTGTCAGCATGCGGCTGATAAGAAGTCCACGTTCCTTGGTTTCTCGGTAACCACCGGCAATAAACACAAGACTGCTACCCTCAAAGACACCAGGGGCAACAAGAGGATCATCAAGAAGCAGCCCGGCTTCAATAAATTTTCCTGTTACGACGTTGTACTGGGAGACAGAAGCCAATGGGGCCATCTTCTCAAGGGAAATACCACCCACAATGTAGATGATATCCTCACCACTTCCGACACAACTGGCATTGAAACGCAACATCGCATCCTCTGGGAGGCTTTTGTTCCGTATATCCATTGTAACATCATCTACGGGAGGAAACTCTTCCTGATACAGCCGCACTTCTTGTACGGATCGGAGAAACGCATGAAATTCATCATCGTCTTCTACAATCACATTTCTGGGGATCATTGTGCAAAACCCTACGATGTACGCCGCCAGGCCAAGTTGAACGGTATTTTTCGTCCCAACAGCAGGAAATGTCAGTTTCGCGGGAACACGAAAAACAGTTTTAGGAGGTGCCGGAGGGGGATCACGGTGTCTTCGCACCTTATGACTTGCCGCAGCTGGCACACCGTGTACAAGCATCAATGGCAACACAAGTTTTCCTGTAGTCATGTCCAACACGTTAATGGTTGGAAGAGCATATTGACTCAAAAACACTGACGTTGGGATGTAAGGCGGGACGATGGCAGATCCGCCAAAGATGACTAAATAACGCCCCAGTGCAACGGTGGCGGGAAATATGCCTGTTTTGTTCATCTTCACTTCGGTCGCACTCCAACCAGTGAAGGTGACTGTGGTGGTTCCTAATGTGGCATTTACACCAGCCGCCTCCGCGACAGGAATGCCCCACCCACCATAACTCTGGCTCACTACGGACGCGTACGACGGCGTGCTCATGTCCACGGGCCACACAGAACTGATAAGCATCGCAAAAAGTAAATAAAAGCCAGTCAACATGAGCAACCACCGCCTCCACATTAAACAAGAAGAAAACGGTGGTCTACGCTGTTGAGGTTTCATGGGGGCAACTGCACAACAGCGGCAGGGGCTAATAATAATATTATTAATATTGTGAATGCTAGAGGTCAACATATCCAACAATAATAATAATAATAAAAGCGAAAAAAAAAAAAAAAAAAAAAAAAAAAGAAAACAAACACACAACTCCTAATCGTTTCCCTTTTCACCTCCTTCCTCTATTTATCCCTCACTATAATACTCTCTGTATGATACAATACTAAGAGGCACGGTACAGACACACAAAACAAAACAAAACAAAATGATAAAGAAAGACAAGAAGGATAACTGTGGGCACACGCACATTTCTAAATAAATGCATATACTTGCAGACGTTATATATATATATATAATGTCATCTCTAACGACGTGTACATGTATTTGAGGAGATTCACATCACAATAACTCTTACCGCCATTCACCTCTCCCAGTGTCTGTATCTTTGCGACTTCTCACACATTCATCGAATAATAATAATAATAAAAATGGTAGCAACGCAAAGAGAAGAAAGCAAACTGTGGGGAAAAAGTTCTTATTTTAGTTGGCCCGTTATAAATATATATATATATATATATAAATTTATTTTCGCTTCTTAACTCCTTCCCTTTCATTTCCCCTCCCCTCCCGTTGTGTTCAGTGGGCTTTCCTTTGCCTCCCCTTTGTGTATGTGGTCACTGCTAACAAGATGCCCATATATATATATATCTATGCGTCTCACCCTCCGTTTCTTCCCCCTCTCTTCTTATTCCTCTCTCCCTGAACCCTACTGTGTATCTTTACTTCCATGTGATGGAAATAAAGAGACGCTTCGTTCGGTTTTTTTTTTTTTAATTTTTATTTTTATTTTTTTTCCTTTTCTTCGTTCTTTTTCTCACCATTTCCTCAAAGAAAAATAATAATAATAAATAAATAAATAAATAAATAAATATCCCATGCGTAGTTACGCCTGTGCCGTTGCCTATTTGTCACTGCCCCGTTTTCACCGCAATATACATCGTGCCAATGCATATCGGACCCTTTCCCTCTCTCTATAGACTTTGCTCAATACACCACACACTTCCCCACCCTCATTCCCGCCAAACACACACACACACACACACACCGAAGGGCAGACACGTGTATAAAATAACAAATATGGTTGATGTAGGAATCTCCGTTGATTATCCCCTCTCCTCCTCTCACTCCATGGCCACTGGGGGCTGATAGACAGTTGTAATACAAGAGAATAAATTAATAAGAGCAAGCAACAAATGCCAAAATGCAACAAGAGACAAATCAACGGAGAAAACAAAACAAAAAACAGGATATCTTCCCACAAACCCACAAAAGAAAAGGGAAAAATGAACCAGTCCTTCATAAAAAATTTTTTTTTTTTCCCTCACTACTTCTCAAAAAGCGTGGCGAGCGTATTTTCCGTGTGCATTTTCTCAATGGCGCGCGCAAGAAGCGGTGCAATAGGCAGCAGCCGTAGTTTTTGTGCAAAGAGTGGCTTTTTAAAGACCACATCTTGGTTGACGCTATCGGTGACAACAATGAGGTCAATGGGACTTTTAACCAGCCGCTCCTCCGCCCCTGCGGAGAGAATGAGGTGCGTCGCTATGAGGATGATGCGACTCGCACCTGCCTCATGCAATTTCCACGCGGTACGGCAAATTTTAATCGCCTCGTCAATGGTGGTGTCAACAATAATACAAAGTCGGCCCTTGACGTCACCAACGAGTGCCACGCCGTCGGTTTGGGCGGGGTTATCTGCCCGATCTTCGCAAATGGCACTAACGCCCTCCTCTTGTTGCCGTAACGCCTTCACAAAGGCAACCGTGTTGCTCGCGTTCTCATGCGTTGGACTTATTCCACGCGGTGGGGGCGAAAACAAATCGAGAACAGTCCCTGCTCGTGGATGCGAATGACTTTGGTGCGCCTCCTGTTGTTTGCTGGACTTTTCTTCAGAAAGAGACGTCTGACACGTGGCACTGGAGGCCGCGGTGGTGGTCACGGTTGCTGTCGGTTTATCGGTGGCACAGGGTCTGTGTGACACACTCTTCACTGGGGGCGGCGGCGGCAGGTTCGGGTGACGATGGACCGCCGTGCACACAGAGACAAACTGCTCCGCGCTCGACAACTTCATGTAGTTCATCAAAGCATCCGCAAAATACTTTGCACGGCTCACAGAGGTGCCGGAAGGTGACACGACGGTGATGTTTCGGAAGTCATGACCCTCATTTGTCAGGTGTTTAGCGATGAATCGAACAAACTCATATCTGGCGGATATATTTTCAAGTGGCACAGAGAACATACCTTCCACCTGCTCACTAGACATGTCTACTGTGATGACATGTTGACAGCCCATCTTTTCAAGTAACTCGGCCACAACAGCCACTGAGGAAACACTATCAGCGTATGCAAGATAAGGAATAACGGCTGTAATGCGAGCGGCGGAACTTAACCGGGCTGTATGTAACATCAACGCCAGCTCCATGAACGTCCCCGAATGCGACAGTCCAAGATGATCGCACCGCACAAGGGACTGAAGCACAAACACATCATCACCACGCAGTGTTCGAGAGAGACTGACATTGATCTCTCCATTCGGAAACTGATTGCAACACGGCGGGTACCGCGGACACTGCAACACCTCACATATCATCTTTTCACAAAAAAGGCTCGTACTACCGGAAAGAATACGCGCCGCAAAGTTCCCTTGCCTCTCCTGGTGGGGAAAATTAAGGGTAAAGAAAAACGTGTCACTGTGAGGCAAGATACGGCGAATATTGATACCAGCGCGGTATTCATAGTGGCTTAAATGTGCCACGGTCTCCTCATAGGTGAGACGATACACCGTGCCATAGAGTGCGATCAAATCCAATGCAATGCGACGAAGATCAAGGCGTGGCTGTGCAATGGCGCTGTTGAAAATAGTTTCATCTATAGACATCAGGCGTTGCTGAAGTTCCAAACTGTCGCATGCGCAGCGTTCCATAAATTTCTTCATAATTTTGCGAAATGCCGCAAGATTAAGTGACCGGTAGCGCAGGATAGTCTGAACCTTCACGTATAATTTGGCAATGCATTCATCCGGCATTGCGCGGATCTCCTCCTCCGTCAGTTGCTCCAATTCATGTACACGCGTCAGGAGATCATCCTCCAGTTGCCACAGATACTTCTTCACCTTCACAAAGGATGCTCGCAGCTCCACAAAAAATTTTTCTTCCAGTTCATGCCGTTTCTTCATCATCTCCTCTAGAGCCGGATCGCTCTCCGTTGTCGCCATTGGGTCAAACGTCCCTTCATGTGAGGTGAATGAAAGCATGGCTGCTGCTGCCACGGCCGCCGCCAGAGACGTGTGCTCATCAATCTCCTTCCGCAGTTGCTCCACCGATTTTGCAATCGGCTTCAGCTCAAAGTATGCCACATAATTCTCCAGAGTAATCTCCGTGTTGTACTCAGACAAGAGACGCCGGTGAAATGCCTGCCCCTCGGAACGTCCTTTGCCCGTCCGCATGCTTCAACCCACTATTTTCTCCCCTCCCCTCCACTCCTTCTTCTCTTTTTGGTTTTGGTTTTATTTTGTTTTTAAATTATTTTCTCTGGTAGCGTTTATTGCCTGCCGCAGAGAGAGAGACTACCGCCGCTTCCGTTTGCCGTGTGTTTATGCGTGTAATGTGGGATGCATTCGCAAGTAAAAGAAGAGAGAATTCCTGACACGTCTCACCACACACACACACACACACACACACACACACACACACACACACGAAGACAGGAGGTTGTAATCTGCAGGGACGGTTGTCGCAAAGCGCACATCTGAAAAGACAAGAGATATTCATTTGAAGCGGTCCGTGCGCACGCACGGAGAAGGAAATAATAATAATAATAATAATAATAAGACAAATAACCCTCCCAGAAAAGAAAACTCCCCAAAAGAAACACACATAAAAAAAAGAAAAAAAAGGGAAGATGAATCTAATGAAGCCCTCCTACGGCATTATTGGTGATGATCGACCAAAAGTCGGGCATACGCTGCAAGATGAACTCCACGCGTCGATTTCTTCGACGCCTTTCATGGTCCATGGAATGAATGTCCTCCTCTGGTTGCCCTTGCCTGTGATGCGTGGTGTGATGACGCAGCGGGATTGCGGAATACCGTTGCAACAGTGCGCTCCGCACGACCTCCCCCCGGTGGTCCATCATTTGTCTGCCTGCTTCCCCGGATGCGTCCGTGACTGCGGTGCGATTGACGATGACCCGTCGGCCGAGTGCCGCCATCATCTCATCCCCCACCACCTGGAAAACTTCGCCATTACTGTCATTATCATCGTTGGGAACATCGCCAGCAGAGGGCGTGTTTTGATAGAGCCGATGCATCAAAGCCTGCTGCTGCTGCTGGATCAACTGGTGATACGCCATCGCAGCGTCCCTCTGAGCCGCTGTTGCTCCTCCGCATGGAAGCATGTTTTCACCTTCCCTTCGCTCCACCCGTCTTCTTTTCTCTCTTTTTTTTCCCCCTTCGATTGCCCGTTTGTGCCCAACCCGCGTTTCCAGCCACGTTCTGTTCCTCCGCAGCACGCCGTGACGTGCCAAATAAGAAGATTTGTCTACACGTTTGCATCAACAATAAAGCGGGCGTAAAAAAAAAAAAGAAAAAAAAAAAGAAAAAGATGCATCAGAAGATTTCAGTCACCTTCCATCATCCTCCCCGCTCGTCCTCCCTCTCCTTCGCCATGGCTGTGTGTGTGTTCATGCGTGTTTATGGAGGCACATCTAAAATCTTTCTTCTTCTTTTTACTTACAAACAAAAAACTACGGTGCCAACATGACGGTTACAGAAACAGAGGCATTGTTGTACACGCCTTCTCCCGGCAATTCCACCGCAACAGAAGGAAAAGCGGCGGCCCAGCCAACTATATCTTTCCCTCCTTTTTCTTCAGGCAACGTGAAAAACTTCCGGGGTTCCAGCAGCAGCGCCGTGGTGGAGGTTTCCCCCTCCGTGAGCAGTGACGATGAAATGGATGTCGTCCTCACAGTCGTCGCATCGCCTGGCAACGGGCACACACCAAGGTGTATGCGCAACGGTTGCATGGCGCTCAAGTCATGAAAGAATCCCTCATCTTCATACATCATGTTGCCGCTCGGCCTCCCCCTTGTGATGGCGCTGGTAGCGCTGCAACGACTGTCAGCAATGGTGTGACGCATCTGCGGCTCCTGTGCCTCCGCTTCTTCCTCGCCTTCTTCTTCTCCTTCTTGTGGACTGTCGGCGCGGCGGAAACGTTTTCTAGAAGAACGAGTTCCTTCCTTCGACACGGGAGAGACCTCCGAGAAACGCGGGGGCGGTGCCATGACAGAGTTTGCCGCCCCTAAAGAACGCTCTTGCGCTGGCGATGGCGTGCCCGTTTCGCTCGCCAAAGTTTCATCATTCCTCGCCTCACTGTGTCGTTCCGCCTCCTTCACGAATTTCCCCTCGGTTTCCACCTCCCCCGCCACGTGCACAACGTCATCCGCGACTCGTACACCTCTTCCTCCTCTACCGCTGGCACGGCGCATGGATGCCATTTATTATTATTATTATTATTCTTTTTAGATTTGGGGTTGCTGTTTACTCTTCCCTATATTGCACTTTGCCATTGGAGATGCCACGCAGGAAGTGGAGGGAAAGAGAAATAAATAAATCAAGCAAAGATATGCTGGCATGAATGCACAGATGAGAAAAAAAAAAGGAAATGTGCTAAAAGAAGAAACAAAAGGGATCATTACAAAAATACAACCAACATCTAAAACACACACATCCTGGCTGCGCTTGCATGAGTAAACAAACATTATATATAAGGCTAAAATATCCACGTACAATGGTAACTGTAAGGTATTACTTCTATCCTTGCTTGTGGTCAGAGAAAATAAATACAGAGGCAGTTTAAGGGCGGGCCAACACGGATGGAAAGCAGATCAAATTTCATCATTGCCGTTCATTGGCCCACACACACACACACACACACACACACATAGATACACGCAGAGATAGATGACACTAACACAGAGCACACATCAATTATATATATATTCATGCGTCCTCCATGTCTTCTTTCGGTTTTACTCTGCATCCACTACTACCCCTTAAAAAATAATAAATAAAAACAAAAACACTGATTCTTGTCTTTAATTATGTATTTTTTTTTTTTAATAAAATTTTATTCTTCTTCATTTTCGGTGTTTTTTTTTTTATTTCTTGTGATCGTTTTCGTCCAGATCCAATCTTTGAAAGTATTCATTTTATCCCACGGGCCATTTTCACTTCTTCGTAGCCGTGTTTCCAGCATTGAATTGTCTCAGCGTGGTAATAAATGCCTTTATGTGGGACTGTATCTCCCGCATCTTTAGTACATCTTCCCCCGAGGGCTGTTGACCACTGTGTATGGTTTGTTGAATGCGTGTCATATCCTGCCGTAGCTGCGGGGAGAGGGATTGAATTGCCATTTGCATTTCCATCATCTGCTGCGCATCCGGGGCCCCATGGCTGTGACCATGACCATGACAATGAGCATGCTGACACCCATCTCCCCTTGGCTGCACCAGCGGCGCCAGTGACGGCGTGGACGCGCACACCGACAGCATCTGCGACTCCTGCAACATGCACATTTGTCTAATCATTCCTTCTGTCTCCTTGTCTGGGTAGTGCAGCACTGCCTCCCTCAGTTCTTGCAGGATTGCGTTGCCATCTGGTATAGTCGCGTTATCTTGCTTCTCTTGTTGCACATTTCCCCCACACTTTCGTGTAGCCTCATAACGTGTGAGAAACTCCACCTGTAGAGCCTCAAAGACGGCCATAAGCTCCGACTCGCTTGTAGGGATTGGCTCCTGCTTGACCGCCTCGCGCAATTTTTCAACAAAAGACGGTGTCTGCATCTCTGCCGTCATGGCACGAACAAATTCATGCACATCCTCCCGCGACAGCTTCAACTTCGACTCCGACATGTTGAATACTCCGTTAAATACCAAAAGTTAGAATGTAGGAGAGTGAGAAGAGAAAAAAAAAAAGGGGAACATGAATGGGGGAGGGTGCAGAGAAGCCCCAATGAGAACACACATGGGCGCAAAGAGGGACTCAATCGGAGCATCGCAGAAAAAGAGAGAAAGAGGGAGGGAGGCAGGAATTAATCTACGAGCCACGGAGAAAAAAATACCATGCAGATGATCAAAACGTGTTCCCGCCTGTCTGCTCAACCATGGCGTCAATCACGTCGTCATCCTCCATGCCCAAGTCTTGCGGCGTCTTGGACTCATCGATCGGTGAGCCATCAAACAAGAAGCGGACGCTGCTGCGAGAGATACCCTGCTTCTTGCAATATGCATCAAATAATTTCTTCAACTGCGTCCCGCACTTGATCTTGAAGAACATCTCGGCGCCATCGGCATTCACAACCTTAATGGAGACCAGCGGGGTTTCCGACTTTACCGCTGGCTTCTCCCCGGTCTCGCCGTTGTTATTATTGTTGTCATTTGCATGATTCTCCTCCATCTGACAAAAACACACACAAACAAACACAAACAAAAATCACCTTTCCCTTTTATAAATCACTTTATGCCTTTTGATTACCTGCGTACATTATTCACAAGACGAATCAAAGAGAGAAAAAAAAAGGGGAACATGAATGGGGGAGGGTGCAGAGAGGCCCCAATGAGAACACACATGGGCGCAAAGAGGGACTCAATCGGAGCATCGCACAAAAAGAAAGAAAGAGAGAAGGAGGAAAAAGGAACGGAAAGAAGAACAAAGAATAAACCCCCTTCCGTCGTACAAGAAAAAAAAAAAAAAATAAAAACATTAACTCCTCTATACATTATTACTCTTCTCCTTCCCTAAAAGCGGAGCGCACATGTTTTGTTAAGTAATACACAGTAATTTGAGTGTTTTATCAGCTGTGGTGTCTAGAGAATTCCTTATCCGCCGGATATGCATCCCCACAAGATTGCAACCGACAATGCAAGAAATTTAATCCATGGTCTGTCCTCTGATAAAATGGTCAAAAAGCCAGCATTTGGAATAATGGCAAAAACTTTCCCCGTAGCATCCTCGTCCCGTACCCAATGATATCCCTCAGGATAAAGTGTGCGGTCATCAAGTTCATTGTTATCACCTTTTGTAAGAAACAACAACGTGCCGCCGTCCTCATGCACGCCATGTACACGATGTACAATGGGAACGGTGCGACCAGGAAGACTAAAAACAATAACATCGCCAATATTCACCTTTGAGATCTTGTGCAGAAGCAATAAGTCACCACGGTGGTAGGCCGGCTCCATACTGCCGGAGAGCACTACCACGAGTGGATTATCGCAGTTCGCCATGATTCCAACGGCACGCCACCCCAAAAAGAATGCGCTGAGCGTCAACAAAATCGGCAAAAACCCGCCCAAATCTGTCACCATACGTATTACACCCTTTATTTGGTGTGCAATCTTACCTATCCTTCCCATTTGAGAAAATTGCAGTTCCATTAGCCTGTGATCGTGCAGCCGATGTAACGCCGTGGCGTCGTGTAAAATCTCCGAAAAAACCATTATTTTGTCTTTCTCCTGGAACTGTGTGTGTGTGTGTGTGTGTTTTAAATCCTTTTTTTCCCGCTGGCCCACCAAAAGGCATAGATGCATGCATACATACATTGCCCAAGAAAGAAAGAAAAACAACAACAACAACAACAACAACAAAACCGCAATGAAAACTTTATTCGCTGCTTTAAAGGGATGCATGCATACGTGTGCAATACGTGAATACCGTACACCACAGAGGCCCTTCCGCCCCTTCTTCCTGATGCTATACAAATGACACTGACCTTTTTTTTTTTTTTTTATTATTATTCCTTTCCCTTAAAAATAGTCAATTACGTCCATTTTTATTATTTATTTATTTATTATTATTTATTGTTGTTTTTTTTTTTTTTTTGCGGCTCAAAGAAAAACAAATACGTGGACGCATACACACACTGCTCCTTCTTATTTCACTTTCAGTTTGGCATCATAAAGATCTGGCGATCTCCGTTGCCCTCCTCCTCTTCCACACGTTCAGCTGCTTGCCGCAGGAGACTTTGAGCGTCATCGTGGCCAACGCAAGCGTAGCTGAGATCGCACAGTGTCGCGTCGGACCACACAGGGCATTGTTGCTGCGGAACAGACGGGGTGTGACGAGGCGGTAGGTGAATACGCTGCAATGCCTTCAAAAAGTCCACGGCAAGAAAGTCAAGATCACTGCTGTGGGTCGTGAAAACGTCAATGTACGCCACAGACTGACGGAAGAGACATGATGTGATCGAGGCGAGGCAAAGCATCTTCACAGACGGTGATACGTGGCCGCCGCTTGGGCTACTGTCTTTGCTGCCGTGGTTTGCGTCCCTCACAAGCTGAAAGAAGAAGGATGACAGTTGATTAAACAAAATTTGGCCGGAGTGTCCACGTGAGACACTTTCAAGAAATCGCGTGAGAAGCGCAGACATCAACGCCGGTAGCAGATGGGGCCGTCGCCACAAAACACCGAGAGGAAGAAGTGTTCGTGTAAGGAGGCGTAGTACTCGAAGAAGCATCTCCTCCTCCAAATAACGCGTACCACTCGACTTGGCTAAGAGAGCATGAATAAAGTTCAGCTCATGATCAATGAACATATCGTCGTCATGAAGCGCCGGTAGCGGCAGGGCACAGAGTTCTAACAGCTGACACCACAATGCCTTTGCAGCGCTGTTAAGTAAAGCACGTGAGCCGCTCACCACAAGCAGCCGCTTCACATCCCCGCGCCACGCGCTAAACCGCATGTGTGGGACGGCGCTTAATTGATGCAACGCCTTGCAGGCAGCCCGAAGCAATTTCTCATGTCGGCTCAAGCACTGAGAGATGAAGGCGGTGGGTGTTGACGAGGACGGACAGGCTGCGGAGTAGAAGAAGGAACAAGAAGAAGTCGATATCGCCTCATGTAAGAGGGTGTGCATGTACTCCTGCAGCAGCACAGGGGCGCTGTCAGTGGGGAAGGCATGAAGAATAGCGGGCACCACACGCAGTTGATCCAACAGCCATCGTGTCGCTGCGTCGGTGCGATACACCGCGTCACGCTGCATTGCAACAAATGAGAAACTGTGATTTCCCCGCCGCGCTCCCGTCGCCCAGGACTCCGTTGCCGCAAGTAACTCACTCATGGCCGTCTCACTGGTACTGTAATCTTGCCGTGGGTCAAAGTTGCTGATCACTGCAGCAAGCCAACAACCACAGTCCTTCGTGATACCATTTTCTTCCCCCACGGCTACGCGGCGCTGTCGTCCATCGTGTATCAAAAACAAAACCCACAAGGCTTGCAGTGCGGACTCCTTCCCTGAACTTAGCAGCCGCACAAGTGTGACAAGGCTGTTCCGACGCATTTTCTCATCATTTGGGGCAAAGAGTTGACGTAACTCCTCGATAACACCTGAAGCACGGGGGGATGCCATTGCTGCAAACGCGAGACTGGTGCCAAGACACCGATCAAAATGCCCCTCTTTTTCTTGGCGCTGATGCGGCCGCCTCCCAGAACCCTGAGGCATCACTGCATAGCCACGAACACGCTTGAGAGAGATGCAAAGAGCCGTGAAGCAATGCAATAGATGTTCCTTCGTCTCTATCTTGATGCTCTTTAATACCCGCAAAAATAGTTCACCAAGGAGATCCATCCACCGCACCGCGATCTCGTGAAGAGGCCTCGTTTCTCCACAGTCATGATGGTCATTATGATTCTTCTTCTTGTTCGTTACTTCTCCCTCATGCTCCTCTTCCTCGTGATCCTCATTATTGTCTGAGGCCAGCGTCGCTAAGTCGTTTGTTGCCTCCAAAGAGGCTTCTGCCCTTGTTTCATGACGTTGACGCTTCCGCCTGTATACTTCCGCTGGCGTCCCCTTTGGGATTGCGCTGGCAAATGCAACCGGGTTATTATTCATGGTTTTCAAAAACAACGACAACGCAGAAAAGTTGTCTTCCTCACAGCAGCGACGGTACATCTCGTCCACGACAGCCAATAGAAAGTTGTGTGCTTGCGACGGGGAGTCCGTTGCGGCCTTTTCCCCGCAGCACGCACTCAGCGCTATTGTGTAAACTTGTCGCAAGATCGTCGCTCCACAGTGCGCCATCTCTCCTCCTTCGCTGTAATGGACCAGCAAGATGGCAAGCTCTCTGGAAAATATTTGACGAACAAGTATGTTGCACACAGAAGCGGTTCGCTTCGCCATCGTTTCACCTTCAGTTTCTTCATCCTCAATGTCACTATCATTATCCACCCGGATGTTCCTGTTTTCCGGGGCGCCAACATCCGTATGTAGGATGGCGGCGGATGGGACAAATGGCACCCTAATTGCCCGCAAAAAGGCCTCATTTATTACGGTGTACTTCTCTCTGCCATTCTTACGCCTAGCACGCTGCAATGAATGGGATTCTTCCGGTCGCAAGAGGATACGACGAAAAAGCGACGGAACACCTTCCTCACACAACAGAAAATCCGCAACCAACTGTAGGACTCGACTCTCCAGTAGAAATGTTCTCATTCGTTTCTTTTTCTTTTTATTCATTTTTTCCCCTTCTTCTTTAGCATCCTGAAGCACCTCTCTTTCCCTTTGAATAAGCAGCAACCAATGGACGGCGCGTTGCAGAAGTGAAGGCCATTGGGGAATATGACCGAGGCGGCGCAAGACATCTTCCAAGGCGACACAGAGCTGCAACAACATTTCTTCTCCCTTTCCATCATCATCCTCTACGTTGCTGTCCCTCTTGACATGTCGATAGAAACAGGCACGAACCTCGTCGTCATTCACACCCATGATGACCTCACACAGTGCTTCCAGGAGAAATCCGGCACAAGTGTTGAGACAACGTGTAAGCCAAGAGACAGAACGCCATGCGGTGGGGGAAACAGCAAACGTGGTCCGCAAAAGCCATACAAGCGCGTGACAAACGCGTTTGGGGCGACCAAACTCCACAATACATTTCCATTCTTCTTCCGTAATTCGATCAGCAAGTTCCAAGGCGCGCGTCGTTTCTCCCTCAGGCAAGTAGCCACCCTCGCTGGCAAGGCGCATGTGACACAACACAAATGTCGTTAGTCGTCTGGCCTCTTTTAAGGGCTCCACTGCAACGTTTAAAGCCACTGAAACAGACCGCGCAAGAGTGAGGCGCTGCAGTACAAACTGCGGCAATAAAGTGGCGCGATGTACATACGGCGCATGACGCATCTGTGTGGAGAGACTCATTGCCGCATCGAGATCGTCAATAGAGAGGGGTCCAACAAGGGCCCCGATATTTGTTTGTACTTGCCACATGGTCTCTTCCATCATCTGTAGATAGGCCTCCACGTTCTGAATGCCAAGGTCCTGAAGACAACCAAAAATTAATTCACGCGCTTGATAAATGGCATGAAGTGTGTACAACACAAGACGGCGCTGCATCTTGGGACGCACAATCTCCTCCCCACCTGCAAAAGGAGATGATGAGACTTTCAATACTGCATTTCCCTTGTTTTCATTCCGCGACTTACCATACTCTTTTTCCTCTTCTATTTTATCAGAAAAAAATGTCCTGTGGAGGCGGTTTACCAGAAACGTGGAGAGGGTAAGTTCCAATTCCGCGGCGCGCTCCAAAAGGGTAACAGCGGTGACAGAGGTGGCAATAATACCCTCCACCACAGTTGCCACAATATCCAGAATGAAGAGAACTTCCTGCGGTAACAAGTGTGACAATGTGGTTGAGTTTGTATTGACCTTTGATGGCTCGTTTCCCAAGTTCGCTTCCGCATCGGCAGCCTCTTCATCCTCATTCTCCTCCGAAGCCCAGCGCGAGACGTATTGTAGAAGATGTATGAGCAACTCCTCTGGATCAAGTGAAATGCCACACGCCTGTACAAGAGCTGCCCTCACACGTGGGTGGGAAAATATTTCATGCAACCCTGCCACCATGACATCATCTCCGTGCATGTCCGCAGATTGAATCGTGTTTCCCTCCTTTTTAACATGAGAAACAATGGCATCCAACAGCATTGGAATCTGGTTGCTCTTCCCCAGCCGAGTCACAAGACTGATGAGGAATTCATGGAGCATGGTGGTCGTATTTGTTGTGCTCATTGGGGCAAGAGTAGTGGAAGAAGTGCGAATTTCATTTTTATTCTCCTGTGATGACACATCCATCGCCACACGAGCCGCAATGCGCAGGATCGCTGATACATTCTGATCAATAACTTGCGGTGCAATAATCTCGTAAGCGGAGAGACAACACGTAATGGCCGGCTCCATGCGTCGTTGTGCTACTGGAGGCCCACCGCATGTGGTGAGCAGTTGTGGCAATACAACCTTGGCAAAAAGTAGCCCAAGTACTTCGTAGCCAAGGCCTCTGTTGTAGCGAATGTCTTGACCAAAGTGAAACACAGCAGGTATCTCATCCATTGCAACCGTCATAGGACGGATACTAGCCGTCATGTTATTAGAAAATGCTAAGGATGATGAAGGCGCCGCAGTAGTTATGGTGCTCTGAATGAACGTGTACAACTCGCCAATCGTGCGCCACGCCAATGTCTGAAGAGAAAAGCGATCAAACATGGCGGCAACGTTAGAATCACTGGCAGTACCCATAAATCTTTGTAGCGCAAGTGTGACTTCCTCCAGTAGGATAAGTGGCAGGTTCGTGTTACCGTCCTCGGACTGGTGAACATGCAATGCGTTCTCCATGTGATTGCCATCGCTGCGGGCTGCTTCAATGACGGAAAGAAACGCACGGTATGACGTCATGGATGATCTGGACATGGTTGAAATCATACTTGCCCGGCTCGCCAGCGAAAGTGCACTTTGATTCGAGATTAGAGACTTTCGTTCGTCCTCATCATCAACATCATATTCTTCTTCAACAGTACCCTCGTTCCCATCACCACGGCTAATGTTCTTTTGAACGATACCATTATTATTATTATTATTATTATTATTAGACGTATTATCATCATTGGTCGTGATGCTGCTACCGCGGCTGGAGGCAGACCCGGGGGAAGAAGAAGGGTTATTACCAAAGTTTTTGTTATGACGCCGTTGGTTCCTTCGTTCTCGTCGTGCCTGACTTTCCTTCAATAACACCATGCGCCGCTGCTCTTGGGCAAAGGCGGTCCAGCTTTGTTCCGCGCAGAAGCTGTGGTAAAAGAAAGGAATGCTCGCCATCCACTGGACAAGAAGAAAAGCCGCGTGTTGCTGTTGTCCTTCCGGCAGTTGCGCCACAGAGCGAAGTGTAGCCTCTTCTGCGGGTGGTGTCGTCACATGCGTGTGAAGTGCATACTCCGCATTGTCGCGTACGTTGTTTTGCATAAGTTTTATATCGTCCCCGCGAAAATACACGACCAAACGTGTTGCTCGATTACACGCCGTGCTGGAAACCAAAGAGGCCAACGTGCGTCGGTAACGTGACACCTCGACGCAACAGCACGACGCCGGTGATTCCGCTACTATGGCATCCACCAGACTAAGTTTCTGAAAGAGCGTAAAGGGCGCAAGCCGGGCAATTAAACCCCCATGCGGCGCTACGGCGGCCCACGCAACCAAAGTTAAAATAACAATGGCGTCCATGTTTTCTTTTTCTATTTCTCTTTGCGTACCGACAATACCGGTGTCTTTGCTTTTCATCGTCCTCGTCGCCGTTGAGGAAATGCCTTTTGACTTTGTGAGAAATTGCTGAAGAAGTGTTGGACATGGGCGGACGTCATGAAGCGTATTTAAGGGATTTCGCGCACGAGCCGTGCGAAGTTGCGTCGCAGCTGCCGTCACCAATGCGGTGGCATGGCGACAGAGTCCAATCCTTCGTCTCTCTTCAGCCTCTTCGTTATTTATGTCCGTCTGCCGCAGGATGGTGGCGATCAAGACGGTGTCAGCGGCTGTCGAAAGAAGATGCGCCAACGCCTGCGTGACAACTGGCGAGCCCTCGTTGCGATGATGGGCGTGACGGCCACACGCCTCAGCGACAGCCTGAAGCACCGCAAGCAGCTCCTCCGCTTCTTCCAGCCGAGAGAGAAAGACTTTTCCAACCAACGCCGCAGGATCGTCTCCCCTCCTAATTTTATTCTTCTGTGCCCTTTTTTCTTCCTCCTTCTCCTTTCCTTCCACGTATCGCTGCTCGTCCAAGTGATGTGCCACAAGCGCCGTGGCAAAACTTATGGCGTACAACAGGGAGTCACTGATGACAATCACAGGGGCCGGTGCTGCCACTGTCGCCTCTTTACCACCGCCCACGTTATGCAATTGCTTTTCATCATCATCATCATCATCATCATCATCGTTGTTATCGACAACAGCAGGCTGCATCTTCAGCATGTCGTCCGGTGTCAGGGCTGCCAAGCAGTTTCTCCACGTCGGCATGTGCGTCAGGGCGTACACATTGCCACGCTTGGGATCCTTGAGCGATGACTGCACAAAGTCGTCGACGCTTCGGCGCTTCTGGCCAAGTTGGCCGTAACGCTCCAATTTTTGAATGGCTGCGCAGGAAATCATCCACCCGACTCCTAAAGCATCATGACGCATGGAAAAAACACACATACACACAGAGAGAGAGAGAGAGAGAGAAAACAAGAGGTGAAAAGGAAACCGGCAGAAAGACAGAGAGACAAAACAGAAAAAAACAACAACAACAACGATAGAAGACGTCACCTCCCGCACTTCAATGCTCCCATCAGCTGCAGTGGTAGGGAAATAATATGAGCAATTATAATACTGTTAATAATAAAGTCCAATAACGTCATAATAAAGCGCAAAACAAAATAATAATAATAATGAAAAAAAAAAAAAAAAAAAAAAAAGCGTGAAGCACAACAGTAACAAACGCTCGCCCCTTCCCTTCACACGCCCTCTTCGCCAAAGAACACAAAACAAATCAAAAACATCAACCGCACAGGGTAAGTGGGCAGAAACAAAAACTTACATTGCATATGCGCAATTCAAAATGACATACATTACAACTCAATAAATAAATAAATGGAATTATAACGGGAAAAGGGTTACCCAAAAAAAAAAAAAAAAGATGAGGGATGTAAGGAGAAGGTTGTAATTCAAAACATATCGCAAATATTCCTCCTTCTCCCCCCCCCCATTTCCCTTCATCTTAGTTCGCTGCGTGTTTCTATTTTCTGCTTGCATTAATTCCACGCACTTTTTTTTTTTTTTTCCCACTTTTCCCATCCTTTCCTTTTTACCGTGCACCTAATTCATTGATAGCAGCTGCTTCAATCCGCAAAGTTCTCCCTGGGAGAACAGACATACATGTGCGATGTGATTGGGCATTTGGGCGTTTCATTACCAAAACAACAACAATAACAACAACAAAAAGAAGCGGTATACATATACCCGGCACAATCACCATTCATCGTATACCGGTGAGTTGTGGGAATGCGGATATGCGCCCATGAGAGATCGCGTCTCATCGCCATCCTCTTGTTTCCTTGTCATATCACGAGTGGATGTCACCCACTGATCCATGGATGCCGTTCCTATATCAGCACCCCGGTTCCTCTTTTGTGGCTCAGGAGTGCGGGTGGTGACAAAGTGGCGCACAACGTAATTATCCACTGACTTGCGCAAGCGGGCCTCAATTTCCTTCGTAAAAGGAGCATTCGCGTTGTTTGCTTGAAGCGACATGGAAATGCCAGTACGTTCGGACTCAATTCTTACTGCTCTTTCCAGGAGCTTCTTCGCGACAAACTGAAATTGATCCTTGTTGAGCACTGTGGGCTTTCCACGGATTCCTCGCAGGTACAATGTGAGCTGCTCAAGAATTGCACGCTTGGCTGAGGCCCGCCAATCATTCCGTGAGTGTCGCTCATTTCTGTTTTTCACATTATTATTGTTATTATTATTATTACGGTGGGTGCTATTCTTTTTGAAAGTGGCGTCAGTATGCTCGCGTGCAACGGAAGAGGCCCGTGATGACACCCGAGACATGGATCCAGCACGGCTCATCGATCGCCCGGTGCGTCTTCGCTGCGCACCTTCGTAAGCCTCACTGTTTTCCCACACCGATTCCTGAGATGGGAGACAAATACTGTGGCTATACTGCATGCTCTGCATCGCCAGCTGCTCTGCAAGCGTGTTCCCCTGCCGGATCTCTCCCATATCCACTGCGAAGGTCGCACGTGGATCAAAACTCGTTCGCAACGGTGAAATAAGTGGGGCCTGGAACGTATCGTGCGCAATATCATCCGTGTTATTCTGCATACCAGCAATTGGTGTGTACGGATGACTGCTGCTTACTTGATACATGGCTGTCGTCTGACGCTGTCTCGCCTCTTCCTCCTCATCCTCGTGAAACTCATGAAAGTTGTAAAGGTTCCTCGAGGTGCGTTGTGGTTGTCGTTGTCCTTGTTGCAACAGGTACAGAGAGAACAGCTGATTTGACGATCCTTTTGCAGCTGAAAGACACTTTATGGCGTGTCGCTCCACCTTTGCGAGGCTCTCAGAGTAGCGGCGAGAAACGGGTTGACTCTCCCGACGCGGGTCAAGCACCATCAACTCACGCGACTGCCGCCACTTCTCCATTACACGAGTCACTGGCGCGGAAAATCCAATCTTTCCAATGCCATACTGCGAGGCAAGGAGCCGCTCACGGTGCACACGCTGCTCACGGTAACGATGTGCCAACTGCTGCGTCAGCTCACGCGGCATGGCGGTGGAGGCCTGCGCATCTAAAACAAATGCAAGGGATGCGTCGGCGAAGGTAGAGTTGCCAGCAGCAGCAACGCCAGAGCGTTTGCGTTCTCGCCGCTCTGGCAGTTTATCCCGAAGATGGAGATGTTTCTTAATCATGTCTTCAATATCAAAAGAAGACTTGAGTTGAGCCAATTGGCTGCGAAGGGCCTCCGCTTCCTCGAGCAGTGCGGTGTCCCTGTCCGAGGCATAGCTTGGGTCCCCACCAGCCACCGTATGATACTCCGCCTCTACGTCCTGTAACATCTGCTGGACGTAAATCAATTCGCCGCGCCGTTGAAGCAACGCACTCTCTACCATACGAACAAGTTCTGCTTCCTGTAGATTCACAATACGATCACTCTCCACTGCCTCTTGAAGTACCGCGCGGTAATAATGACGTATCTCCGCAAGGAAAGGCACCACAATGGAACCGCTATCCAAAGAAACCGGGTAAGCATCCGCATGTCGTTTGTTAGTACTCCTGGCATGGCTGCCTCTGCCACCACCAACACTGGATTGCATGGTGAGATTAAGATCTTCCGCCATATCATCCCAACGATTTCTCTGATCAAGTTCCTCGTTGCTCACGTCATTGTTACTTCTCTTGCTATCTTCTTCTTCTTGTTCTTGATCTTGCTCCTCATCTTCAACAGTAACATGAGACTTCTTACTGCCCCTATAAGCATCAATCTGCAACAAGGCATTCTCTTCCTCCTCCTGATCCCTCTCCTTTTGATTCCTTCTACTCCTTTTATTACGCATGGATAACGTGTTCTCCAACACCCTGTCTTCTTCTGCCTCTTCCACTTCCGCTTCCATTTCTTCTTCTTCTTCCTCTGCTGCCCTTCTCCTCAAGACATTTAAATCTTCTTTGCGATGATGCTTCGTTTTACCACTCTTTTCCTTCTTCTTTGGAATCTCTCTCTCCTTCGCCTTCCTCCTGCCACCCCCTGTCTCCTCTCCACCTCCTTTTGATAGTTCTTCTTGAGCTGCTGCTTCTGCCCCCGCAATGATTTGTTGTGCCACAAGAACACCCGCCGCGGCAGCAGGATGACTTGTCCGTGACGTGTCATGCGGGTCGTACGGAGACGTGTCGCCAATCGGCACAACGGCACCGCTTTCAGTTCCAAGAAAGTACACAAACACATGTCCACTTTCCACGGGCATCGGTGCGTCGTGGTCCGGCACAATCAGCGAGGCGTAGTAGACATCGTCGTACTTGACCCAGCGAAGTGATTCGGTTGCAGATGGCATTTCTCAAATACAAACGTGTCCCTTGACTTCAAGCGGCTTAATATATATATATATATATATATTATTTACCTCCTCCACCGTTTGTTTCCTCCTCCCCCTCCACAAACGAGGGTTATGAGCTTCACAAGCACACACACACACACACACACACACACAAACAAAGACGGATACAGACACGCCGTTCAATTACCCACCCCCTTACGGTCGATGCTTCCTCTACTGTTGAACAAGAGTTATGTGGAAGACGCTGGGAAAAGACATGATGGGGATGGAGAAGAATAGAAGACCCACGAAAAGCAACAAAAACAACAACGAAAAGGGGGGTAAATAATGGGAACATTAAAAACTACAAACAGCAACAACAACAAATGACTGCTGCAGGAGCAAAAAAAAAAAAAAAAAAAAAGAAAAAAAAAAAAAAGATGCCGAAGAAGGTAAACATAAATTTCCTCCTTTATATATAAATATATAAATATATAATATATTTGCATTTCTTTGCTCCTCTTTTATTGCAGCACACAAAAAACCACAGACGCTGAAACACACACTCTCTTTTCGTTTCTTAAAATTTATTTATATATGTGTGTTTGTTTGCCGTTCTTCCTTCATTCTCTATAAAGGCGGGAGAACAGAGAAAAACAAGAAAAACAACGACAACATCCTCTTGAATGCCCTACGCACATGCATAAATGACAGAAAAGCAATTTTTAGCGTTAATTGGTCGTGGGATTGTGAGAGGTGACACTACGATGACTGTTACTTCCATCATGCTCGTCTTCCTGCTGCTGCTGCTGTTGCTTTTCCTCTTCATCATACTCCTGTCGCTCCCCTTCCTGCTGCTGCTTCTGACTTTTATGATGATGATGATCACTCTCAGCCTGGGCGTCATCTTCATCGTAATCCGGGCACGAGGCATATTCAATCGGAACCATGAGAACTACCGCCGCATCCAACACTTCGTCGCGCTGTCGTTGATCCGCCAACCATCCCTCAACCTCCTCTACGGATTTGTGTGCCTCAACCGCGATCGCATTGGCGTAAATGCCATGGTGCAAGACAAATGCTTGCGGCGAGGCGCGGTACTCGCGTCGGGTAACCGGATGCTGATAAACAGGGTTTCCCCGCGGCGGCCGAAAGTAGTAAAGCCCATTGGAAGAGCTGAGGTTACATGTCCATCCACGCGGAAGCGGAAGAAACGGGTGGCCGCGTGGTGGGTAACTGCTCATTTTGACAAGCTTGCGTTGCAATTCAAGCGTATTCAATGGACTCCCGCGTGCACGTTTACGGGTTTGATGATGATGGTTATGGTAATGACTGTGGTGACGATGACTCTCGCTACTGTCACGTCGATGCCGACTAGACCTGCCCCGGCTGTGCCCACCGCTTCTTCCCGCAACTCCACCGACACGGTACTTAACCTTTAAGAGTGCCAGAGTTGCCATGTCAAGCGCCTCCACGCGCATTCGCTGATCCGCAAACCAATTTTCCGCCTGTTCCTCTGTGATGTTTACAGCATTATCAAAAACGTAAGTTTTTGTTGCCGCTTCTCCTGATGGCGCCGCAACTCCCACCTCTCCTTCTTCCTCCTCTTCCTCATCAGTTTT